TCTCTCTCTCTCTCCTCATTCACTAACATATTCCCTATCCCTCACTCATATACACGCATAAACTCATACACCTATTTATCCCTCCACTCCTTCCTATGCCTATAATTGAGCCCAAAAGCCATAATCGGATTACTTGAGCGCGCTTTGCATTATATATGAATGCATTTTTGAATATATTTCGCCAAAATTCGTGATGAAATCAAAAATTCAAATATTTTTCTATTCATAATTCAAAAACCGTTTATTATATCGTGATTTGTTTAAAAAACAAAAAACACATAAAATATCACAGAAAATGGGTATAAAATCACAATTTGATTAAAATAAGAGAAGATATCTCACAGAAGAAACAAATGGGATACAAAATAATGAGATACGAAATGATAAAATAGCGTTACATTGTATTTGACTTGTGGTGAAAAAAGCAAAAGCTTGTGATCACCAAAAGGAGCGCATCTCCTGTCTCTTCGCGCGCATCATTGCCTTGTATTCAGAGATCCGTAGTTTACGGCCGTCGACAACACACGTGCGCTTTGGTCGCGGTTTGTACTGCAATATACATATGTAATGTCAATACAAGTCATTCATTAACATAGTTGTAGATAATTTTCAACATAGATGTTACTGATAGTCAAGCCAGTGGTAATAGTGTTATCATACTTTATAATCTGGGTGAGTTTCCATGTGTTTGCGGGACAGCCGTTGCTGTTCATCATAGAAGGGTTTCTTATCGTCGGGAGTCATTGATTTCCATTTAGTGCCCAAAATCTTGGAAATGTTTGAGTTATGCATTTCTGGACACATTTTAAGCATACGTTTCCTCTCTTCTCGCGCCCATACCATGAATGCATTCATCGGACGCTTTATATGTGTGTTATTTGTTTTGATATCGGGTTTGAATGAAAGATCTAATGGTTTTGTTTCCTATTATTTATGCGATGAAAATAGCGTTAAAACAACGAGAAAAACAGATTTCTGTGTTATCGCAGACCTCTTTTAACGACAAAAAGCTTTTCTCCTCTATTTTCTCGTCTTTCTAATAGAAAAGTTCAAAAGAAATGCCGAAAAACTATTGTTTTTACGAATGAATTATTTATCAAAAGGAAAGCCGAAAATAGCAGTGAATCCCATAAGAGAATCAGAAATGTTTTATCTTTTATTTACAATTAAAAATCAATTAATTATTCAATAGAAACAAAAACACAGAGAGTTTTATAGTTAAACACAAAAGTCTTTTATATAACTTTCTTCTAACCTGTTTTTGGTCGCGAAGAGCGTCTCTGAGTTGCGATAACTGAGCGATCATTTCATCCACTTTTTTCTCGGTCTCCGAGAAGTCCAGCGACGAAGCGATGGCCAAACAGTTGTTGAAGTCGTCGTCCGATTTCTTCCTCACCGCTAAAGACATTGTTTGCGAACTCTTATTGTCAGTGAAAATGAAACAACACTTTACGAGTCAATCATTAGAGTCTCGTAATTATAGTCCAAACAATGCAACAATCAGTGCCTCTCCGCTCCCCTCCGAGCGCTTCACGTAATAAAAGGGAGCGATTGTTGTGATCACGAGCTCTGGTGGTGTTATATCCTCTCCTCTCTCTATGTGTTCCCTCTCCTCCTTTCGATCCCTTTCCTCCCTTTCCTCTCAATCTTCTCTCACATCTCTTTCTCTCCACTCCTCTCTCCAGATCTCTTCCCTTATGTTTCAGTGTCTCTGACAACCAATCCTTACGATTGTTGAGCGCATTCTCTCTATTGTTTGTGCGAAAGACAACACAATTATGGGCCGCAAAAAGTTGTGTTGATTTAAGGCCTAGAAATCACGGATTCATTGTTTGCGCGCTTCTGTCCATTAGTCGCCCGCAGAGAGTGTTGTCAAACACTGGGAGAGAGAAAGAGACAGTGAAATAGTCGCCAGTATTTCAAACATAATTATGATTTAATTATGATTGCAGTCATTATTTCTTAATGTTTTTCATTATTATTATTATACAAAAGTATAAGAAAACGAGATTTTATGGATATCTTATGAAATATTAATTTGATTTCATTTTCATTCAATTATTCAATAGAATCGCCTGTTTTTGATCGGAAAATCAGTTTTTATTCACATTTAACTCAATTATCAAAACCATTGGCCAAAGAAAATGCATCGAAAATATATGGAAACTATCGGATCAAACAAAACAGAAATCATTTGCTTTGAGTAGTCCAACAAAACAAGTTTATTAATGTTTGATGTATAATTAAATTTAAAGATTTACTATGCTCAATTTCATAGAACTACTCAACTAAAACTTGTAGATCAAACATTTATGCTGTATTTTGCTATCATATATTTAACATACAATAAAGTAATTTATTAACATTGCATTCACTTAATGGTAGAAAAGTATTGTCTGTATGTTTGTAATGACAATAATAAACTCATACAATAAGTCAATTAAATTCACTAATTATAGAGTATATTGTAATTACTAATTAGTATTGTTGGACAAGTAGTCAACAATTAAAGCCAATCCCTAAGACTGTCTCTCACTCTCTCACAATTCATTGTTATTTATGCATAAAATTATGTACTTTTAGAGTCCGTATAGGAATTGATTTGAATTGTTTAGAGTTAACAAAAACTTCTTAAGTATTGTTATCATAGATATAATGACAATCCTATATCCGCTTATATTATGCTAACAATTACACACAAATACAGTATATTTAGTTAAAGGACTAGATTTTTGTACAAAAGGGTAGCTAACTAATCAAATGAACAGAGTTATCAAACATGTTATTTTACTAAAACGCTCACAGTAATTATGTTTGTTTAATTTTTAAAGCATTAAACTCCAAAAATATAAATAGTTCCTTGTTAATAATTAATTGTACTAAATATTAAATTAAGGTTATGTGCCGATAGTCACATTAACTTACTTGTTATAAAAAATACTTGATGGTATAATTAATTAAAGTTTCAAATAATTTTACAGTATTGTACAAGGCTAATAGTGTTTGAGATCCATGGTTTAAATGTATTGTTTATGGTAGAATTATAATTTATAATTTGCAGTAAACACAAATACCTGACACTAATAAATATTAACAATATTTTGTTTAAAATATTAAAATACAAATCTAATAAAAATATATTAACTTTTAATTACGTAAACTGTATATTTTTTAGCAGACAGATTTTTATACATTAAATTGTATATTTAATTGAGAGAATAATGTTATCTAGATAAAGAAATGATTTTATTTAAAAATTACTTTTAGTGTCTCTGAAATATTAATTTATCTTATGGACTAGATGTCGACACTATTAATTTACCATCTCTATTAAAATATAAACTTTTTAATAAAAAAAATAATTAAACAATTTAATTACATTTAAATAACTGTATATTTTGTTACCAACACAATTTTCTGATATTGTTAATAAAATAAGCATAATAGATATTTAGGATTTGAATTATGTAAGCATTTCGCAACCTATTGAAATTACAATAGTATATTTGATTCGTGTTATTTTATTTGAACATATTATTAAATAACAAAGATGTATTATAAAACCTCAAGAGCAATAAGCTGAATAAATACCTTGCACATATTTTACGTAAATTAGTTATTATAATACAATTGTATTTAAATATCAATTTCAATATTAATTTCAATTGAATAAGAAATTAGTAATTTTAGTATTTATAAAAGTTTTAAATATTAATATATAAAATTAATTAATTATTTAATAAATAACATAAATTATAACAATATTAGTAGTATTTAATTTTTAAAATTAAAATGATTAATAAATCACAAAATGTGTCAAAATTACTATTTTATTATATTATATATAATTGTATAATAATAACCATAATTTGTGAGACAAACAGCACAAGCTGTTTTAACAGCACAATTTGTATTAAATATAATACAACCAATGGATGTCTTGATAACAAAGATTGTGTGAGTCGTGGGCATCAAAATCGGGTTTGTTTTGACGGCCGGTGTGTTTGCCGTAAGGACTACAGAGAGGATAAGCGAAACGGCGGGCAATGTTTGGCCGCATATTTACCCTCATGTTTGGACCGTAAAGATTGCGACGACACGAATGAGGTGTGTGCGAACGGCCGGTGCAGGTGTGCACCCAATTATCAATGGGACAGTAATGAAGCGAAATGTACAAATTTTTTGTGCAAAACTGACGGCGAATGTAAATCATATGATACGGTTAGATACTGTTCGGGCAACGGGAATGGCAGCTGCCTGTGCCCACCGGCCTATCGGCCCGACTCATCTAAAGGCCAACTCTGCGAGTCTACTGCCGAGTATTGCGACTCTCGGAGCCGTTGTTTAGGCAGAGATAGGGTTTGTGTGGACAACCGGTGCAGATGTCGACCCAATTATCGCGTAAACCCAGTGACAGGAAAGTGTGAATTGTTTTATTGTAATTTCGATACGGATTGCGGTAACGCTTGGGATGTGATGAGACGGTGTGTGTCCGGGAAATGTGTTTGTTTTGATAACTCCTACAAAGAAAACAAATACAACGGCCGGAAGTGTGAGTATCATCGCTGGACCGGCAATGTCTGGACGTGGATCTGGTCTACGGTTGTCTTTCCCGTCGGTATTTTACTCATTGTCTTGTATTACTATCGCCGCCGTTATGTCAGGCCTCAAGTCATACAAGTCATCCGTTATTAATATTTAATTATGCTTTTAACAAATGATATTGTTTAATAAAATTATGCTAAAATATTTGTTTTGTTACATTTAAAGTAGATGTGATTGTAAGAGTAAACTACTGTACACTCTCATTACGCCTATGCGTTCACTACCTTACAGCCACAAATGTCATACAGTGAACGCACTGTCCTGTACTAAAATACTGTGTGTATGCATTGAGTTGTGCGTTCACTGCATGGCATTTGTGCTATAAGATAGTGAACGCATAAGCGTAACGAGACTCATGTGCATAAAGTAATTCATATAATTGAACATAGGAAATTAAAAATCATTTTGCATAACTTATCAAACATGATAAATATTTTTATACGAATCTTCTGTTTCAATCTAATATACATTATGTAGTTCTGTGTTTGATTTAATTGTCCTTTTATACCCTGGTATAAAGTATACTTATTTTTACAAACTATGGAATTCATAAGTTATTGATGAAAACATTTAAATATTAAGAGTATTTTAAAACTAAAAATGTTGTTAATTTGCAAATGTAAATATTGCACTCTTAAAGCTCAAACATTTCATTTATAAAGCATAGGTAAGTGAAAGCGTATGTGTTTTTACTTTCAATTTGCTTCTACAGAAATGAGGATTAAATCTAATACCGAGAATAAACACTCGTCCAGAAGTACAGTTGTAGCTCAAAGCCAGCCAAAGTTAGGGGCAATTAAAAACATCAAACACAAGCATAAAACAGTACAATTTTTTCACACATGTATAACAAAAAGGGTTGATTTTATGCTATTTCCAGATGGGACAGTCATTTCTACATTGTATGTCCATGTTCTATGAAATTGGTAGTTTAAGGTTATTGACATTGTTGAAATGCTATTGGGTATTTTTATACTTGGTCAATTAGGAGCCAGAATATACTTAAATATAAAGTAGATGTAGTAATCCTAATGAAAGCGAAAATAGTTGTGCCCAGAGAATGATGTTCAATACCTTTATTGAATGCCTTTATTATCTTGTATAATTTATCAATCATTTTAGAGTTTATATGAATAGTTTTTATACACTTTTTAAAAATAGTTAATGTGTTTCTAGTATTAAAATGAAGCCAAAATATTTATTCATAAATTTTGCGCAAATAATAATAATTAGTATTCAATTCAATGTATTAATGGTCGCAGACTTTAATAAAGTGGTGTCATTAGAGCCGTGCGATTCTCAGGGTCTGTGTCGGAGTAATGAGGTTTGTGTGGATATGACCTGTCGTTGTGCTCCCAATTATAAGCGAAACACTGATACAAATGTGTGCGAAGAGTATGTGTGCAACGGATACGATAAATGCGGTACAAATCGGGAGTGTTTTGCGGGCAAATGTATTTGTGAGGACCGGTATCGGGAGGACCCGAGTGACGGACGCAAGTGTGGGCGCGATTGGGCACCCGATTGTGGGCCCCGACGTACGTGCGGTGCGAATGAAGTCTGTGTGGACGGGAAGTGCAGATGCGCTCCAGATTACAGATGGGATAACATAAACAACACGTGTCAACAGATTGTATGCACTGAAGGGTTATTTGATTGTTATCGGAGCTGGGATTTTATGAGAGAGTGTAAGTCCGGCCGATGTGTTTGCTCTCCGCACACGTATCGGGAAAACGCTAGAAACGGCCGCAAATGTGTCTACAAAGGGCTGTCCGAGTGCTCGACGAACACCGACTGTTGGGACAATGAGGTCTGTTTGAATGGGAAGTGTCGGTGCGCTCCCAACTACCGATTGGATCGCAGCACAAGTCTATGCCAACCATATGAGTGCGAAAACCATAATGAGTGTCAAGAATCGGGCGATCCCTGGAGGAAATGTTCGTCCGGACGGTGTGTTTGTTTCCCGGATGACAATCACGAAGATAAAACAAACGGCCGTAAATGCAGTCCACTCCTCACATGTTCACTGGACACCGACTGCGGGCTGAATGAGTTGTGTGGGGACGGGAGGTGTCGTTGTGCTCCCAATTATTACTTGAATCAAACCACTAATACGTGCGAACCGTACGAGTGCTCAACGGAGAGGAATTGTGACAGAATGTGGGACTTTATGAGAAAGTGTGAGTCCGGACAATGTGTTTGCTTTTCATCTAGATTTCGGGAGAATACGACAAATGGTCGCAAATGTGAGCCCTATTCGGCGCCGACGTGTCTGCGAGACATTGACTGCGGCGCTAATGAGGTCTGTATGGATGGGAAGTGCAAATGTGCCCCAAATTATCGATGGAGTGATAGATGGAAGAAATGCGAGTATTTTAAGTGTAGGGATCACTGGAACTGTTTTGAATATTTTGGTGATTATAATAGAGGCTGTCGATCGGGAAAGTGCTTATGTCATAATCATTATTACGAAGATGTTAATAATGGCCGCAAATGCACTTTTAATTTTACCGGTATAAATAATATACCGATATCAACCTGGGGCAAATTGATTGGCGCTTTAATTGCTACAGGCTTTGACTAATATTGTTCTTATATATTTAGAAAACAATTTATAAAGTTATTCATTAATGTTAATAAAAGGATGAAGTGTTATAAATAATCAAGCATTTCAAATAAATTCACAATAAATATATTTAAAACCTTAATAAATAAAGCAATATTTTGCAAAATAATTATAGTTTTGTTATTATAGTGTTTCCATTTGTGTTAAAACTAATAATTTATTTAATTTATTAATTTTTATTAATTAAGTAAGGTTATCATGAAAATATATTGAATGTTAATTATCAATTTAAATTTTATGGCTCTATGGACCTAAACTTATTATAATATCATTAACTTAGTATTATATTATTATTTATTTACATTAATTGTTAAACTTTTGTTGATAAGAGATCGGTCTAATAGTTATATTTCACAGTAAACTCTATTATAAATAGTAGTTTTATCTTATAAGTTAGTTTGATTGCTAAACTATACATAAATGTTTGATTAATCTATGTTTAAATTTCAATTTATATAATCAAAGAACAGTATATTTGTTATACAGTATTATACTGTATTATAAACAATATTTCTTGAAATCAGCTCTCAATTAGATAGAATTTATAACTCCATTTAATATAATATAAGTTTTATTTTAATACAAAAATATTTAAAATTTATTCATTAATATAAAATGAAAGTTTTAATAGCAGTGAAATATATATTGGCGTATATTATACTCAATTTATATTACAGTGATATATGGGGTTTGGGAAACACAAACTCACCATGGTGTTATAGGGATCACGAATGCCCCAGAAGGTACGAGGTGTGCTTAGACAACGAGTGCGTGTGTCAGCCCGACAAATACAAGTGGGACACCGAGAAGGGTGAATGTCGGCCATTCAACTGTACACAAGACTCTGACTGCGGCCAACACATGAGTTGCGCTACCGGCCAAGGGGTTTGTTATTGTGATTTTGAGTTTGACGCCGATTATAATAACGGGGGTAAATGTATGCCAATGCGTAACAAATATAACAAGTTATGTACGAGTGCTAAAGCGGACTGCGATTGGATGGTATCGCATCAGGTGTGTGTCGACCATAGGTGCAAATGTTTGCCTAATTTGCGCTATCGCACCGTGCTCTATGTCCGTTTCTATCCGGCTCCCGAACCTCGCATCTCTGAGTGCCAACGGTTCTCATGCGATACCGACACCGACTGTCAGGCCTACGATCCAAACCGCGTATGCAATCAAACGAATGGCAAATGCATTTGTAGAAGTGATTACAATTATTTTGAAGATGATAAAAATGGCTACAAATGTGTTACTAAAACTATAAGAATCACTAACATTGTATAAATAAAAATGAATAATTATAAATTAGATATTTTTAGTTTCTTCTTATAATCCTTAATTAGACAAAATAAAATCTACTTTAATAAAAGTCATTATATAATAAATAAGAAGAATAATCTTTTTATAATTAATAATTGTAGTAAATTTTAGTTCATCTATATTCTTTGTTCATATTTTTACAGAGTGTAATGTCCATATTAAATAAGGTAGTTCCATATATAAAATATTTTAAGGTTAAATGTAATAAATTATAGCCAATAATTATAAAATCTTTGTACCAATATTCAATTATATTTTAATTAATAAAATATTGTATACAATTAATGAAGTTAAGTTATACATTATTGTACTGTATTAATAAATACCAATTTGATAAATTAATCTATAGTTTATCTTTATTTGATTGCTAAAATAAATAAATATATACTTAAATGTCTGATTGACCTATGGTCAAAATTCAAATTATATTGTTGAAGTGCATTTGTTATAAACAGCAATTTCTTGTAGTCAGCCCTAAAATTAATACAATTTATAACTTTACATAAAGAAAATGATATTATAGCCGCACACCTCGTTTAAAATCGCATATTTGATCATCACTTGACTATAAATAGTTTTATCTTTGCTTAATTGATAAAATATACTTAATTGTTGGTCTATTGACTACCAGTTAAGCAAATGATATTATAGCCGCACACCTCGTTTAAAATCGCATATTTGATCATCACTTGACTATAAATAGTTTTATCTTTGCTTAATTGATAAAATATACTTAATTGTTGGTCTATTGACTACCAGTTTGTTTGATTTATATACATGTATGTTTATATCTATAATTCAATTTATATTATTGGAATATGTTTGTCGAAACATTTCTTGTAATCAGCTCTCAGATACAGTAACTACAATTGATAAATATATTTAGTTATAAAATAAGTTTGATTTTTATATAAAAATATCTAAAATTAATATAAAATGGAAGTTTTAATAGCAATGAAATATATAGTGGTGTATATTTTGCTTATTTTATACTGCGGTCAATTATGTAGTTCGGGAAACCCGAACTCACCATGGTGTTATCAGGACACTGAGTGTCTGCGCAGGCATGAAGTGTGCTTAGACAACGAGTGCGTGTGTCAGCCCGACAAATACAAGTGGGACACCGACCAAAGTGAATGTCGGCCATTCAACTGCACTCAAGACTCGGATTGCGGTCAACATATGGAGTGTACAACCATTAACACTGTGGACCGCGTCTGTCGCTGTACTGGTAATTTCCCCCCCGATTATCGTAATGGCGGTAAATGCGTGTTCACCGATGACAATCATAACCAGGTGTGTTCGGGTGCCAGAAATGATTGCGACCGTAGTGTTCAGATCTGTTCATTCGGACGGTGCAAGTGTTTGCCAAACTTTCGTTATGTCCCATACGAGACATACCTTCGCGTCTCAGAGTGCGAACGGTTTGAATGCGATGTCGACCGCGACTGTCAGGCCTACGATCCCAACCGTGTATGCAATCAGACAAATGGCAAATGTGTTTGTCGTATGGGTACTGTTGAAATGAGGACGGTTAGTTATGGTCTCATGTGTTTGTAATGCATTAAAATACCTGTATTTACTCTATAAGTTGTATAAGTATTTGAGATTTTTTTGCTCAAATTTTTCGTTTATTATATAAAGTAATTATAAATTAGATATTTTTAGATTTTTATTAATTATTATTTTTAATTAAGTAAAACAAAATCTACTTTAATAAATGTTATTACATAATTAATATAATATTATACACATCTAATTATATACAGTATATTAGATTCTCAACTTTTAAGAGAATATTTTGTAATTAATGATTGTACTAGCTCATTGATATTCTTTGTTCAAAGTTTATAGAGTGTAATGTTCATATTAAATACAGTAGGTGCATATACAGAATATTCTAAGGTCAAATTCAATAATTATTAAACTTTGGTCCAATATTTAATTATATGTCAATTAATAAAATATTAATTATACAACAATTGAGTTTATACACTATTAATAAATAATCGTTTTATAATCAAATATAACTGTAATTGTAAATATCAATTATCTATTTGATGCATGGTCATTAAAATGTTTTATAAACCAATTGATGACCAGAGATGTGATAAATGGAAAATCATTCAACTATTAGTAATACAAAAAAGTTGAATGAAATGAATCACAAAATAGTGTGAAAAAGTCTATAGAGTTGTGAATAATTGTGTGATTTTCAAGTGATAAGCGAGTCGTATGTGACGGACGATAGCTTTGATCGCAATATAATTGAGCAGAAAATTAAAAATTTAGTCACAATTTGAACGCAAAATGTTTGGCAAACGCTTTATAAACGTATCGGTGAAGGGCTTGAGTCCCGGCTCTCAAGACTTTAAGATCTTTATGGCCGCACACGAGAAGACATTACTGGATCTGAAGCGCCAACTCATGAGTAACGGCCTCTTCAGCGACGAGAAGTGCTTTTTGGTGATCTGTGGACAACAGTATCGATACGTATTGAACGACGACTGTCTCATAGAGTGGATCAAAGCGGATGATGTCGTCGAAGTGCACGACAGGGCCTATTGTCACCCAACGGATCCGTTCGCACCTCAAAAGTAATGTCTAGAAATCATGTGTTTTTGTAATCAATACTTAATTATCTGTTATTTGTTTTCTTCAGAGACGATAAAAATGCGGACAAAAAGTGGTCAGAAATGAGCGCCGAAAACGAAACGCTGAGAAAAGAGTTGCTTTCGATGCGAGAGTCGATGGCATTGAAGGACAGGGAAGTGTTGGCGCTGAGAGCCAAGTGCTACGTAAGTGTCATGTGTCAGCTCGCGATGGATAGGCGTGAAGCGGCGCTCAGGGATCAGATGGCGGACCTTCGGGTGTGGACGCAGCGCAAGGATTGTCAGCTGAACGCCTATAAGGAAGCGTTGGTTGACATGAAGGCCACGATCGAGACGATGGCTCAGGAGGACAGACATCGCAATGAGTTGAAGGATGAAATGGCTCACAACGGGTCGCCGTCACCGCCCGGTTCCCGACGGTTCAGCGCCGCCGACTCTCAGGCCATAGACGTAGGCGTTATCACTGAACTCCTGAGTGAATGCAAAATAATTACCACTCTTTTGAATGGTATGAATGGCGAAGAAGAGGATAAGGCGGTGACCACTCTCGAGGAGATCAGATCCGTTATCGATAGCGATAACGAAGACATGGATTAGTTTATTGTGAAGATAATTATATGACCATTCAATCACTTGAAACCAAATCAATTTAATTCTGTGATAGTTATTAATTTTTGTGTTTATAATAATAATTATAAATATTGTTCTAGTTGTTATAATTAATATTAAATTTTATAAAATAGTTTTCTTGCATTAAAGTTAGACACAAAACTGTAAAGCGTTGGTAAAACAAAATAAAATGCTATGTTATTGAGTAAAATGATGGTTATTTATATATAAGTGGTCCGACACTCATAGATAAAGCATACATTATTGTGGCTTTTAATGTCACAACTGACCAGTAATTAAGACATGTGCTTAACAACTAGTGTACAGTTAAATAATATAATTTAAATAAATCTATGAGTGAATTATGACCACAATTTTTCCCATATAAATAGTCAACACGTATTATCTGGTGATTTAATTTGCAATTAGCATGTTGGTTATTTGTGATAATTATTATGAATATCATTAGATGTTGTCTAATGTTGTGTTAATTGTCCGCAATATATGTTTATTATCTAATTATAATATGATCTGCAAATTAATGACATATATTATGGTAAATCTAAGCGCAGGTAATGATAAGTAGATTGCAATCTAGTATTCATATTATAATTGTATGTTTGAATAAACAGACAATTTCTACGAAGCGTTCAGTCATTTAAGAAAAGCATTGGTTTCACGACATGAGAGGAAAGGCATTATTATTATGTGATTTCAGACATAAAGTTGTAGAGTCTGTAGACCTTTGATAACATTATTTGACTAAATAATAGACTATTTTTGCAATAAACAAGTTTGACGTTTAGGTCCTTGAAAGTTGTCATTGCCAATGAATTTTTCAGACTATTTCACCATAAATAGTATATTTTATGCCAAATGATATACTGGAAAATGCTATTGTATTTCCATTGGGATCAGTGTATCAGTATTTGAACACAAAGAAACATATTTAAAATACAAAATGTTTGAAATGTTTGCGTAGAGAACATGATTTGACAGCAAAACAATGTCTAATATATTTCAGATTTGATGTTATAATAAAATAGTTTTTATTAATAATTTTATCAGTAGTTATAATGAAGCGATTATTTGTTCAAACGATTTGTACGTTTATTAATATGAATTCATATACGAGTCCTTCATATAATCGCTTATCATCTGAAGTTTAGTTCAAATAATTTTTTGTTTTGCTATAATATTTACCTGAAAAAAGTTAACTTAATAGAAAACCCTCGTTATAGCAACCGGTGGTAAAGTACTGCTCATTCACGGTATGGTATAATAAAAATGCTTATGATAATAATTTCTCTATTAAATTGTGCGTAAGTTGATTAGAAATAATTATTGTACATACTATGAGATGTATGACTTTATTGTTTAATTACCACAGGTTAACAGTACCGAGAGTATAGTGTTTTTTCTCTCCCCTAATGATTTCATATCCTGAATGAATGACAAACCATTTTTTGATATGTTATAGAAATATTTTTTATGCCAATTATTTCTGTTGGAAAGTAACGAAAGTGTGAATAAAATACTGTATAAACGCGTGAATTAACTAATGTTTTCGTTGAAAACACTATTAAAATAACAAACACTTCTATGTATTAATATACAGGTAGGCGATCAAGTGTTTTTAATTTGTTACGTGGTGTTTTAGTAATATTATGTGGTAATAATGGCGTGGATAGTATACTACTCGATACTTTTATTAACATTATATACGGCTAGTGTCCGGTGCGATGAAAACACCACAAACTATGCCCAGACTTTTGATAAGACAATCGACAAGAAATATGTGGCGAAAGTAAATTTCGACGACCTGGAGGAAATGTTCGTCCGGACGGTGTGTTTGTTTCCCGGATGACAATCACGAAGATAAAACAAACGGCCGTAAATGCAGTCCACTCCTCACATGTTCACTGGACACCGCATTTATCAAATCCGTTGCACACATACTCTTCGCACACATTTGTATCTGTGTTTCGCTTATAATTGGGAGCACAACGACAGGTCATATCCACACAAACTTCATTATTCTGACACAAACCCTGAGAATCGCACGGCTCTAATGACACCACTTTATTAAAGTCTGCGACCATTAATACATTGAATTGAATACTAATTATTATTATTTGCGCAAAATTTATGAATAAATATTTCGGCTTCATTTTAATACTAGAAACACATTAACTATTTAAAAAAGTGTATAAAAACTATTCATATAAACTCTAAAATGTTTGATAAATTATAAAATTTTTAATTAATAAATATATAATAAAAACATTCAATAAAGGTATTGGACATCATTCTCTGAGCAACAACTATTTTCGCTTTCATTAGCATTTCTACATCTACTGTATATTTAAGTATATTCTGGCTCCTAATTGACCATGTATACAAATACCCAATAACATTCCAACAGTGTCAATAACCTTAAACTACCACTTTCATAGAACATGGACATAGAAATGACTGTCCCATCTGGAAATAGTATAAAATCAACCCTTTTTGTTATACACGTGTGAAAAAAGATTGTACTGTTTGTGAGACAATGTTTTTAATTGCCCCTAACATTGGCTGGCTTTGAGCTACTTCTGGACGAGTGTTTATTCTTGGTATTAGATTTAATCCTCATTTCTGTAGAGCAAATTCAAAGTAAAAACACATACACTTTCTCTTACATATGCTTTATAAATGAAAAGTTTGAGCTTTAAGAGCGCAATATTTATTGATTTGCAAATTGGCAAAATTTTTAGTTTTACAATACACTTAATACTTAAATGTTTTCATCAATAACTTATGAATTCCATAGTTTGTAAAAATAGGTATACTTTATACCAGGGTATAAAAGGACAATTGAATCAAATACAGAACTACATAATGTTCATTATAAAATCAAATCAAAGAATCAATATAAAAATATTTATCATGTTTGATAAGTTATGCAAAATGATTTTTAATTTCCTATGTTTAATTATATGAATTACTTTATGCATATGAGTCTCGTTACGCTTATGCGTTCACTACCTTACAGCACAAATGCCATGCAGTGAACGCAGAACTCAATGCATACAGTATTTAAGTACAGGACAGTGCGTTCACTGCATAGCATTTGTGCTGTAAGGTAGTGAATACATAGGCGTAACGAGACTCTTGTAGTTTATTTTAAAATCACATCTACTTTAAATGCAACAAAACAAATATTTTAGCATAATTTTATTAAACAATATCATTTGTTAAAAGCATAATTAAATATTAATAACGGATGACTTGTATGACTTGAGGCCTGACATAACGGCGGCGATAGTAATACAAGA